GTTCCCTTGCTGTTCTGTTGCACCCCCTTAGTGTTTTGCCTCAATGTGGCACAGGCATCTTTGCATTTTAAAGGGGCTTTTTTGAAGCAGATTTGCCCAATGCAGTAGGTTGTTTGGTTCAGTCTTGGGTTTAAATAATGCTGCCACTCCTGTTCATTTTTACATTGCATCAGGTAGGCAGTAGGCATCTTAAATAGAAGCTCAGCAGGGGCTTTAGGCTTTTTCATTTGATGGAGAGCTTCGCTAAGTGACAGTGTTAGAAGTCTGAGCGGCGTTTCTGCTTAGGTGAAAGTAGCAGTAAGGTAAAGACTGGCGTGAATCCTCTGGGCTGTTCCCATGTGACTTATCAGCCCCTGCGTTTTGGTGCAAAGTAGAGCTCATTCCCAAAACTAAACAGTTAGGTGGTTTTCATCTTAGATCACCTTTTCAAAAATAGAAGTTTTAATAAGGAATCGTTGCCTGAGTGATGTCATCTCTGCCCTCTCTAGAAGGCTCTGGAAAACTACATTTGAAGTTTTATTCTTGGGTAGAAAAAAACTCTGACTTTTTATGGAGAACGTACCTCGTTATGATCCCTGGGGTGCAAAAGGAGATCACGAATGGCCCTCTCCCCATGTGCTTTCCAGTGAGAGGAAGCATCGCAGGCTGCTGCCCTGTGTTTGTCTCAGGCACCCTAAAGTGGTCACCTTTCTCAAGTGGGTAACACCGCGATTCTTGGCTTCGCACGAGAAAGAATTCACGCCGAAGCCCGTTTGTAATCTAAGTGAGTTTTTATGAAGGGTGGGTGAAGTTTCAGGTTTTACAGTCTCAAAAGAGTGCACGCTATTTCAGGGAAGCGTGCCTAAGTACATGGTAGCCGCGCGGAAGTTCACAACTGGGCAAGAGCAACCTCGTGGAACAGCGCGCCCTCATGAGCGGAACTGAGGCCAGAGAGCGTGGCAGGGCACGAGCAGGCACAGGAGCAGGGTAAAAAGAGTGGCCTTCCTGCCGCCAGGGTAGTTCAAATCTCTTGCTGGGGAGGCATGCTTGAAGGCATTGGTTGACCCCATTGGCCAAATTAAGCCCACCTGGGTGATGACACCAGCCTGGGCCTAGTTGGGGCCGCTCAGGTATGCCGCCCACCTGGCTTGGGGGCTTGAATTTGAGCATGCCCAGTTTGAGGGTCTTCATAGGTGTTTAATGATTGATTCCTTCCCAACTCCTTTATGGGGGCCTTTGCAGGCATGGGACGGACACCCCCCTGTCCCTATGTAGCTACCTAACAAGCTCAAATTGGAAGCTAATTACAGTTGACCCTTAACTTGGATTTGAACTTCAGTCCCACATAAGTGGAATTTTTTTTCTCATTGTTGCCCTTTTGGTATGGGGAGGCCTGGTGCTAGGCAGTTAGACTGCTAACCATAGGGTCAGTAGTTCAAACCCACCAGCCACTCCTTGGGAGAGACATCCTGTTTGCTCCTATAAAGAGCCTCAGAAACACTCTGTAGGGTCACATATTTTCTTTTGGATGTCGGTGAGTTTAAGTGTTTAAAATGCCATATTACGTTAACGAGGAAAAGATGAGGCTTTCTGTTCCCATAAAATGACTCTGCCCTCTAGAGTCATTATAAGTCATAATCAGCTCAGTGGCATGGGACGGACAACCCCCCTGTCCCTGTCTAGCTTCCGAACAAGGTTTGTTTGTTTGATACTAATCATTTCCCTTAACTTTTTAAGTGGTTATTGGAAACACTTGAACTCACTGCGGTAACAACAGGCAGCTCAAGCCTATGTTGTTTGGGGGTCAACTTTAAGTTAGATTTTAAGTTAGGTGGGGATTTTTCTCCCTGGTGAGGGAGGACAGTGGCTGAACCCCCGTGCTGCTCAAGGACAACTGTGCTTAGAGCTGCCGCCATGGGTTAAAATGTCTGGATTTTTTTTTTTTAATCTGAAGTGTCAAACTTCATGCCTTTTCTTAGGTGGACTCGATTTTTGGAAATAATCAAATCCGAGAGTTAACATGGGTAATGGTGCTGGTTAATTTTGTTTGAGTTACACGATAGTTGTGTTGATTGATTTTTGTTTGTGGATGGCAGAGTAATCGAGCTGGTTTGGGGGATGTCCTACAAACTACCTGGCACAGAAGCTCTGCAAACATCTCGAGTACTTGCAGCCTGGATGCATGAATAGCCTAGGGGAGGACGCTTGGAAGATGAACTTCCTTTAGGGTGCAGGTTCTGCTGCTTAAAACAGTGTGTGCCAACAGTCTCTCTCTCTCTCTCTCTCTCACACACACACCCCCCCCTCAGTGTTTTATTATGAAACACACAGAAAGATGTAGACTTGCATAGTGAACTCCTCTATCTATATCGCCATCTTGACATGATAACTAATATTCAGATATATTTGTTTTACCATGTATCTCTCCATTCAGCTATCTTATTTTTAAGTGCATTCTGTGAAAAGGCATTAGACTTAAAGGATCTTTTGAAAATTAGATTACAGGGAGCAGTTTAAGCTATGGGGGACGTAGAGTGTGCTCGTGGGAGGACGAGATCGGATGAGCTCCAGTGACCAGCTGACCATCTCCTCGTCGTTTTTTTTCAGGGTGTGTTCCACATGGTGGTTGAAGTGCCCCGATGGTCTAACGCCAAAATGGAGGTAAGGTTTTGCCTTATGTGGGCAAATTTGCTGAGCGTAGCTGCTTTGACCTAGCTGTGCTGACCTGCACTGATTTCCACACCTCAAGTCCGTGGTTGTCCTCTGTCTAGTCCTGATGTAGTTTCTGGTTGCATTCCCATGACCCGTAGATCTACATTCTGTACTAGATAGCTCAACTCACCTTACTCCTGACCTCCCTCCAACCTTTGCTTCTGACCTTCCCAAAGCCCACGAATGGCCTCTTTCCTCTGTCCTAGCCTGTCAGTCAGCCCCTTGTGTTAGACTGGGGAGACTGGAGAAACAAATTCATAAACACGCATATGTATATAAGAAAGCTGTATATACAAGAGCAATTGAATATTGAGAAAATATCCCAGCCCAGTCCAGATCAAGTCCTTAAGTCCGATATTAGTTCATATGTCTGATACCAGTCTATCAAGTCCCCTTCAGATTCACGAAACACATGCAATGATGCCGAGTGCAGGAAGATCACAGGCCAGTGGGTGGAAAGTCTTGTAGCTCCAGTGGCATTAGAAGCAGCTCAGCATGGGGGTGGGTCTCCACGTGGCTCCGCCAGCTCTGGGCTCTGACTGCATCAGTGTAGCTCCATCAGGCTCATCGTCAGTAAGGTCTCGCAGGGAGTGAGCGTGTGTCCTGCCTCCAACAAGCTATTTATCTCCTTAGCACCTCTAAATGAGGTCATTAAGCTGTGACCTGACAGGCTAAACTCCACCCCTTCAATCTTAAGTCTCAAGTTGACAGCAGATTATGTAACTACTGCAGCCCCTGACTTGGGCACCCAAGCACAAATCAGCTCCTTGGCAGCATTTTGTTAATCTCTTCCTGACGACACCTGTCATATGTGGCTTTTGATTAGAGATGTGTGTAACATGTTTTGCACCACCTATTCAAGCTTTTTGACAGTAACCATATGTGAGCATTTCTAAATGCTTTAAAGGAAAGGTGACATTGGATAATAACTTATTTTGCTGTTTTCATAGAATCTTAGTACTTCTGACTTCTCAATCATTTTTCCTTTGTGGAATTGGCGTGATTTCCCCCCTCTTCTTGAGAGCTGTATCCCTCAAGTATGTTTTCCCTGTAGTGGCTGATGGTAAAGTCGTTTTGAAATTTTAAGCTCGAAATGTATGATTTTCGGCTCACATTATAACATGTAAATGATGTCATTGGAGTGAAGTGAAGGGGACATACATGCTATAATTCGCTTCCTTCAACTCTTCCCGGAACAGTAATGCGCGGCCACTTATCTAACAGTTGGACTTTTAAAATTTCAGATCGCTACTAAGGACCCTTTAAACCCAATCAAGCAAGATGTGAAAAAAGGAAAGCTCCGTTATGTTGCCAATTTGTTCCCTTATAAAGGCTACATCTGGAACTATGGTGCCATTCCTCAGGTATGTGTCTGGACCGTGCTGAAAAGGCACCTTCTAGCTCACTTGCAGCAGGCCAACTGCCTTGACACCTGCAGGCAGCTCTTGCCAGGATAGGTCATAAAGCGACAATGAGAAAGAAGTCGTCAATTAATTGTAATACTATGTCGAATATTCCCTTTTCAAGGAAAACTGACAGGTAAATACTGATCGGGTTTAATTTCAGATTTGAAAGTTTCTTGTTTTGAATTTTTTTCTTCTATGTGGACTGATTGATTCCAACGCACAGTAAGCCTATAGGACAGGATAGAACTTCTCAGGTGGGTTTCCGAGACTGTAACACTGTAGGGCAGTAGAAAGTCTCATCTTTCTCCCGAGTACCGGTTGGTGGTTTGTTGCTTGTTGGTGGTTTGCAACTCAACACAAACCACTGTGGCCCCAGGGCTCCTGCCTGGACTGATTGTAAGCCACCTAACAGCTTTCTGTACAGATTGCGTGTCTTACCTAAAGACAAACGATGCAGAGCAGTAGTTAAAAGCACTGATGTTTGGTACCAGACAGACCAAGGTTCAAATCCAGTCTGTCACTTCCTAATTTACCTTACTTCCCTCAGTTTCCTCCTCCACAAGACAGAGATATTAAAAGCATTTCGCTCTTGAGGTTGTTTGGACTAAAGCCACCTAGCCCCTAGTATCTGGCCCATGAAAGTGCTCATAGCTATTGACTCTTATGTTTAGAATCCTGGTTCCCTCTTTAAATGAAGGTCCTTTCTAGTTGCGTAACGATGGGATCCCGATAGCCTAAGCAGTCAGCCTTTTGAGAAAGGGAACATCTTCATTTGACTGATGTGTCCCCAGTGTGTGGTGGGTTCTTATTTAATGTTAGAATGAAGAATCACTAGGATGACCTCTGTGAATGATGTGAGTGGGTCAGATTCTAGTTCGACTGGGCTACTGCTGTGGCACTGAAGGTTTTTATATGAAATG